TTAATATTAAATATGTAAAAATAAGTTTATAATATTATAATCAGGGGTATGTCGTATGTGCAGGACTTTGTAATGGTAGGAGGAGAGTGGGAACTACCATAAACCAGAACAACAAAAGTATAATATTAAAAAAAAAACGAAAATGGAAATTCATTCTGTTGGCTTTTATTGAAAATTTATATTTTTTACAAATTTTTTAAACCAGCCTAAAAGGGACAGTTTTTAACTAAGTTTTGTTTTGGGTGCAACTCAAAAATGATTATAACCACAGATAACAGATTTTCACCAAATGTTTGTATTAGCATATTCTATTCACCATATAAATGTTAAAAATAATTGATTTTTTACAAGATATTTATGGACATAACAATGTCCTATTTGATCACGTAGTTTTTATATAATGATTACTATCGATTGAAAAAATTTAGTTTGGTCAACAAACTTGATGTGATTGATACAAGGTTCTTCATAATTTTTTGTTAGTGTAATTTAAAAATTGTTGAGCGTAAATTCACAAAAAAATTATATGACATGAAGTTAGAATTTTGGAAAATTCGTCATAATCCCGAAAATTTGGAATTTATTTTAAGCTAGTCATAAAAACTTTTCTCTTTTTATTTGAAATTTTAAAATCGGATGCAAGATTTAGTAGTTACTACCTCATAAGTATTTGACAGATCGACTGCACTCAAAACAATTTTTGCATATAATGATTTTATATCATTGAATTCCAATTTAACTCGTTCGTCCTGTTGAAAAGTTAGAATATTTAATACAAGTTCTCATATAGCCATGTATGTTTATACATAGTTTTAAAAAAAGTGAATACTGGTGAGCTAAACTGCTATACATTAGGTGTCACTCATGTGAGCTACTGTAATAGTGTAATTGTACACGATAAACGATTCTGAGCGAAGACAGACCGTCTGCCCATGTATAAGTATAACTATATAAGTAAATTTTAAAATATTATTTCTATTAAAGTAATCCATAGTTTACTAGAGAATATCCAATGCCGTAAAAATTGGAACTTCAGACGCCCATAAATAATTATTTTGAATTGATGATCATCTTTTTTTTTTAAATTTCACTGATTATAATTTATGAAGAACGTGTTGTATTATATTTGGAAGTCTTTTAATCAAGCGAAAAATTATTTACCGACAATAATTGAAATTTCTGATTGCTAAAAATAGTTGAAATATTGTGTCATTAATTATAATTATGAAGAATAATTGTCATAATATTTTTAAACATTTGGTGAAAATTTAAAGTATCAACATTTTACACTTATTCGTTTTTGAGTGACACACAAGAAACTAATTCAATTCAACTTTTTTCCCAGTTCCACCCCTAAGTCAAAATAAGCACATATACCTCTAAAAAATCTTTTTTAAATTTGATTTAAAAGAATGAAAGCTTGAAAATTTATGGAATTACAATAAAAAAATATAAATTTTATCAAATTAGGTTTATTATGTTGAATTTAATGATGAACGAGCCGATTAATTTAGAAATAAGAAAACACCGCCGTTCTTCCAAGTTCTTCTAAATTGTTAATGATTTTGACTTTGATATTAATATATTATACTTCAGTGGCGTAGTCAGGGGGGAGGATGAGGGGGCTGCAGCCCCCCCCCCCGAAATGTTAATAAAATTTAAAAATTATTTTAATGGTCTATGGCATTCTATCAAAAACTAAACCACCGCTGTGTAAAAAATTGATCCCCCCCCCCCCCGAAAAAAAATCCTGGCTACGCCACTGTTATACTTGACAAATATTCTAAAGTTGACCGTGGTATGCATTTATTATTAAAATACAACTTTTAGTTTAATTTTATTTATTTATTACCAATTTCAAAGATAAGTATACATTATAACTCTCTAGGTCTACTGCCTAGTTAGGAAAAAAACCTTGAGCTTAAGAGGACGCCACCCCCTCATGTGTTGTCTCCGTCTTACAAACGCTTAACATACCAAATTTACGCTCAGCAGTTCACGTTTTATGCCGTTAGCTTAAAAATTAGAGTAAATCGTCCTCTTATGAAACTTAATGATAAGAACTTTATCTGTGTTTTGTTGGAAGTTTTTTTACGACAACTTAGTTTTTAAGTGAGGTATGCTTGTATAATAAATGTATAACTCACTTAAGAAAACACTAATGAAGTTCTTAACATAAAGTTTCATAATAGGTCGATTTGCTCTAATTTTTAAGCTAACGGCATAAGACTTGAACTGCTGGGCGTAAATTTGGTATGATACTCGTTTGTAAGACGGCGACAACACATGCGGGTGTGGCGTCCTCTTAAGCACCCTGTATTCAAATGTTTATTTAGTTGAGCCTAAGGTAATAATTAGCCGACTAGGGCTAGGATTTATATGCATCATTAAGTATTTTCAACTTCTGATTAGGTACCACATTTGTTTACGATATCCACAAATCGGATCATTTTGAAAAAAATGGTGGTTATTTTATTTTGCTTATTTGAATAAAATACATATTTATAGCATGCGTATATTATGTACTATAAACATTTATGTAAGTTGTGAAATTCATGTTTAATGCTAAATTTTAGTAAAAAGCTTGAAAATGTAATACAAAGTTCCTCGTAAATTGTTAATTATTATTATTTAGCAGATTAAAAATATTATGTACAATGTTTTTTATAGACATTTGTCGATAAACTTTTAACTACGTTTGTCAAAATCACTAATATTAAAAATTATTTTGTAGTTCAAAATGCATAAAATTTTCATTTGTAATGGCTTGACGAATTTATACAAAGTTACTTATAAGTAATTTAAATATCATCGTGGGTAGATACTCAAAACTTTAAAGTGTATTATTATAAACAACCAATAAAATTTAAAATACACCCAGATAGACATATACACCTAAATAGCGCCGTATTTTATATTTGTTCGGTTTTTCCCATGCGAAGTCTGGTTATATAGGTACAGACATATAGCTTGGTACACATATAATATGTATAAACGATAGTTTAACAATAAATGGAAGTATTGGACTTGATTCTTATATAATTTGTAAAAATGTAACAACCTAAATTATACATTTTTTTATTGCCTACATTATTAAATAGATTCATTCCTGCCGATCATCATTCTGGAACCGTGTTTGAAACTCAGAATAGATCCTACGCATTTCCTAGGCTAATCCGCTGCACTAAAGTGGTAGACGGTTGGTTTTAGTTATATTTTACTGTTATAATTAACGTTTGTAGGGATTCATTTTTTATACTGCTTTAGTTGGAAATTCATGGATAAAAGGATTTACCCTTCCCACAAATAATTATTTACGATAGGCAATTGATTTATAAATTGTAAATAAATTAAAATCGGCTAAAAAAAAGTTCTGGATTCTATAATCTATATAGACAAACCATGATTGGTGTTGCTCATTTTCTCGACCACCTCATTAGCGTGTTTCATTTATATAAATCATTATTCACCAGGTGAATTTCTTAAAATGAAACATAATAAAATTTCTTGTTGATAATATCTACCCCTGGGGGTCATACCACTGGTTTGAGCTGGCAAATTTTGTTGTTGACCCAAGAAATTCGCCTCTGCATCACAGACATACCTACCATATTAAAATATTATATAGGTAGACTCCCCAAACATTTTGTAATGCCCAGTGCGGCAGTGCCTATGAGGATTGAGGATGCATTATAATTTATAATTTACAGTATTCGATTCAGAGTATAGGGTTAGGCAGACCATATTTTTATTCTTTGTAACTCAATTGTAAGCAATGAAATATTTAAAAAAGGTTTTTAAAAATATGAAACAAAGAATAAAAAAAAAGGTTTTTTAAATATTGGCAACAATGTTTTAATAGCCTCTTTTTCATAAAAAAAATGTTTAGTTAACATTTTGAAAATCTTTTTTAATTATCCTTTAGTCGTTTTGGAAAAAAACAGAAAATATTTTTTATATATTTAGTGAAATATTTCCATATGCTTTTCAAACATATAATATGCATCGATGTTAAAATGTCAGTGTTTTCAGTGAAAAAAAAAAACATTTCAACTATATTATTATAGATACATAATATTATATATTAACATGTTAATGTCTTAGCCGCTAGGACTAGGCCATAAATCTTGGCACTACTAAATCAAGTGCTTACAGTCTAAGAATCGTTTTCAGCAAGTTGTAGCTTAGAGTGTTTATACCATAAACTTAATACTAACTACCTATAGTACAGCCCTACGCCTGTACTGGTTTGTAGTTTTGTACTATGTGACATGCAAGTAGAAAGATGGTCGATACTACATAGTACAAAGCAAAGATAATATATAATATAATATAGAAAATAATAATATGATATATATTAACTGTGAGGCATGAAGAACTAAATCACCATCAACTTACTAATTATAGCCTATAACTATACTTTGTGTCAACTGTATTTGAAAATTGAAAATTAAAATACGCATTAGAAAACGAATAATAATAATAAAACATTTTTGCTCAAGGTGCCTGACTTGCTATTCGCTTAAATATGGTTTACAGATTTGCGATTTTCGACTTTTATAAAAGCACAAGACGATTAACTTAACTATTAAGACCACTCAATTACTGATTTCCACGGGAACAGATTTCTATATTTATAGACACTCAAACTCGAATTTCAAACATTCCCGCCTTCGAAATGAGACTACCAAAGAGCCTTATTACAAATTCTTATCAAGAAACCGCCTGTCGTCTGCCCTAACTTTTCAGTTTTGACCTACCTACAAGACACAGGCACTACTTTTATAATCCTAACGATTCTGACTCCATATTTATCTCCATCTTTAATAATAACTCTCAGCGAATGTCAAGGGCATCCAGTTACCCCAGTATTAATAAAAATCTTTAGAGGCATTGGGAACTTTGGTACAAACGTTCACTTTTATGTTGGTCACACTCAAAAATTGGTTATAAGCTAACCAAACTTAGCATCCTGTTCATTTTACCTGGTAAGTGGTTACTGTTAATATAAAATCGAAGTGTATACAGTATTACAGTACCAAGTACTTTTTTCGCCAATGCTGCGTCCACATTTTCAGGTCCAGAATTCTGTTCTTCCTTAAAATTCAAAAATTTTGAGAACGTTTTTGAAACAAGGTAATTATATAGGTGTTGATATAGTAAGTTCTATTCTAGTTTTTTTAATATTACATTTCTATATGAATTGTGTTGTATACGATTTTCATTGTGGAAGTCTAACCTCAAAAGAAAAAAAAACACTGAATATCTACGTTAGTTGTATTAATTTTTTATTCAACAACATTTTAGCAACTTCAAAATGCATTTGTTCGTACGCGGTCAAAATGTCCATGCTTTGGAATGTCAAGGATTTGAGAATATTTCACAGATCAAGGTAAATATTGAGTGTTTATTATGGATGGAACACTATAATATTATGTATTGTGTACTCGTGTGTTATGACTTATGACTAAGTTTTGTCTAAACCCATTCAATATTGATGTACCTACGCAATTTTAATTTTATATTCAATATTTTATATTTTTTTTTATTCTCAATATTTTACTGTTAAGACTATGAGTCCGTATTAAAAAACATAAGACTTGTTCTGTACTACATAGGTATTTAAACATATCCCGAATTGTATTCTATTTGGATTATGTATTGATTATGTACTCTTATGAAACATTTGACTGAAACCCACTGGTCTTGCTAGATGCTGCATGTATCATTGGATATTGGTCCATGTCAATCTCTATAAGTAATTGGGTTTACAAAAAATTTTTTCATAATATATACTGGTCTCTTATTTCAACATCACACTTGTTGCTGGGATAGCGTTATTACAAAATTAAGAAAATCGCTTTAGATATCCATGTACTATATTTAGAGTTAAGGTATACCATGTACTAAGTGTATAATTTTAAAAATGGTTAGGACTAGGAATTCTCTTGATATAAAAAAAAAAAAAACAAATATTTACTTGATTAATTAATATAAAAAGTTTAATAGTGGGTACTGGTTTGTTATTTCCTTGCTATCTATAATAATACATATATTGTATAAATATTCTAATAATTCATTAGGAAAATGTACCATTACTGTTGAGGTACCTATCATAGGTGTAATTCACATAGTATGGGACTATTTTAACAATCCCAAACATTATTAATTAATATTATTTAATTAAACTCATTATTTTATATTTAAACAATGCATTTAATTTACTGGGCGGCGCTATTTTAAACCAGTACCTAATGGCTTTATTTTATTCAACTAAATCATTTAATTTATAACCATGATTTTAATTTTGTACTCTAGTCATTTTTTAATATTATATGATTGTGGTTATTATATTAGTGTGTAGGGAGTGAATAAGGGGGAGAGTGTTTAAGAAGTAAGCCAGCCTCCCAAACATTTCCTAAATTGTATTTTAAGATTATTCAATATGATTACTAGCCTTGCCACCAGTTTCTCCAAATATATGCTGTTTGCACTTATGGTTGATAAACGTTGTACTCAGTTGTGTAGTATGCAGGCCACATGGTGGTAATATTGTATACAATTAAGAAAATGACAATGAATTTATATTTTATTCCTTTTTGAATTAGGCTCAGTGGTGTATTTTTTTCTATGAGGTGATATGACCAAAATTATTTTGCACAGCCGGAAGCCAGGGGAAGGACTTATTGCCCTAACCCCATAAATACACCACTGATTAGGCCTAACCTTCATTATGTTTGATGAGAAATATAAATATTATAAGTTATAATAGCATCCACAGATAGTACATAATATGTGTTTGAAATTACATTTTAATACACCATTAATAACTAAATTTTTGTTGAAACAATTAGAACAAATTAGCTGCTTTGGAAGATATTGAAGAAAATTTGATTTCATTGTACAATCAAGGTCAACCACTTAATGACAATCAAATTGTTGGAGAATTAAACAACTTCAATATTGATTTCATCGTTCCATTGCTGGGAGGTAAATATTTTTATTTTTATTTTACTTCAAAAATATGAAGTTTTAAATTTAATTGATTAATTTAGGAAAGGTTCACGGATCCCTGGCTCGTGCTGGTAAAGTTAAGGGACAAACCCCAAAAGTTGAGAAAGTTGAAAAGAAAAAGAAGAAGAAGACTGGACGATCAAAGAGACGTATTCAGTACAATAGGCGTTTCGTAAATGTTGTTCAGACTTTCGGACGCAGGAGAGGGCCAAATGCCAACTCTTAAATTGTTTTGCTCTTTATATACATAAAATAAATAATGTGGTAACATTTTGGGATTAATTTATTTTTTCATTGAATACAATTTTTGTATTCATACTTTGAAGAGATTGTCAATATTCGATTGAATGGAAATGTGTTTGAGTGGAATAGTAAATATTAAACATTTACAAGTTTTAAATATATTTTAAAACTAAGGTCTGTTTAATATTTTAAACTTCACTTCATTCTAGGTTTTATTTGTAGTTGATTGCTTTACCATAATATACATTGAGCATCTTTTTAAAAATAAATTACCTAACCAAACCATGATGTCAATAAGACAATACATAACCTAAGTATTGACATTCATTTCATATTGAATTTATTAATGGATGTTCGTTTTGCCACACACATTTATCTTTTTTTTAAATAATACACATAAGAATTCCATTCTTGGTGTAGCAAACATTTTACATATGAATTATAATACATGTATGATATATTTAAATATTTACTCGCATCATCAATAAGTTCTAAAAATGTATTAAACCAATGTAACGTAACTAATTTGGTAATTCAACTACAACAAAATACCTTAAATTGCAATTAAATGTAATTAATTTGAAAAATAATAGGTAACTTTAGTTAAGTTACTCCCTACACTGTAGACATGACATTTCTTTTAGTGGGGCATAGAAATATGTGTCAGGAATCCAATACAATTTTGAACTACCCTAGAATATCGGGGCTTGCATATTAAGAATTGCTGCTGTTAAACACTTGTTATACACTATACGCTCTATACGCTATACTCTAAACGCTGTTATACACAAAGTGTATTTGTTTAAATGATATACATGATGTCTATAGATGGGAATGGAAAGATGTGATTAACGCTTCCTTAGATAAAATAAGAAAAAAATTAAATACGTATTATGATTTCAACATCGATTGATCTATTTTTCGGTAGTGAGTTGATGAGAATGATTCAAACAGGGAAAACTTAGGACACAGTTTTCGAATTATTTATATTAACTTTAGTACTTTTTAAAAATAATCAAGAATTACAAAAAAAAAATGTTACATATAAAATTGCCTTAATGGCTATAATAATTTATGAATTATTAATTACTAATTAAGAGTAGAGTATTAGGAGTACATGTGTTTATATTAATATCATGTTTATTTTTTTGTGCCTTGTTTCACTTAGATTTTTTTTCTGGGCTTTTTTACACTTACCTAAAATGTCAATGTCATAATTAAACTAATCGCTTGATGCCCTTTGGATATCAAAGGTTGGTCAGTATAGAATTTTTTTATCATTTACATTGATTTATTACATGTATAGTTAAAATTTAAAATATCCATTAGAGTGAACTATTCAATGGTTCACCCACCACCTAGGCCACATAAGCTGTAACTTCAACTACCAACTTATTCTTGCAGATTTCAAAATTCTTTAATAAAAACTAGTATATTTGAATATAATAATTATTAGATTAAAAATATTCATATATCAAGTATTTTATTAGACAAATAAAGTATTTAGTAAGGTGAAAAAGTAAACAGTACTAAATTGTATGAAAATGTATTATTTACAAATATATTGAAATAGACAAATTGTATTGACAAAATTGAAAATTTTTATTTTAACCTTTAACTTATACTTTCAATTTAATCAAAACAATAATAACTATTCAATTAGAATCATCACTACTGGAATAATTGCCAATTAATGATAATGAATTACAAGATTCTTTAGTCTTGTTGGTACTTGTGACATTATTAACTTTAACTAAATTTAGAAGGTTGAGTTTCGATACTTTTTTCTTCGCACTAGACTGTGCTGTTGAAGTAATTACATTTTTTATTTTACTTTCGGCCATATTGTCCTCAAATTCTACTAACTCTTCATCTTCATTTTCATTAATCTTACGTTTAATACCCATCAATTTTTTTACTGTATTTTCATCTTCTTCTTCTTGCATCCGCTTAATTTGCTCCTTTAATTCTGCAGGGTTGTATTTTAATAACATTGAATCATAATCCACATTACCTTGGCGCCTATTTAAATCTCTTAGCTCTTCAAGAGATTCCATTAATTCGATTTCTTGTTTAGATTGTTGAGTACGATTTTCCAATAATTTCATTGGATTTGTAGCTTCTTCTTCCTTTTCAGCATCTTCTTCTCTCTTTTCCTGTTCTTGTGCAAGTTTTAGAGCCATGAAATTTCGTGTAGCTCCTTCTTCTATTTCATAGTCTGTGTTACGTGGGTCGGTTTTAAAAGATATTTCTTGTAAACACCTAGTGCATTTTATGTAAAACCGGTAAATACGTATACCCAAATAATCTTCATTTTCTGCATCTTCTTTTCGGGCATTAAATTTTTTGCCTTTATAAATGTATTCACCACAAGTCTTACACCGCATGTTGAATGGTGCCATAAGACGTACAGTATACTGTCTATTTTTTGGAAGTTTCATGCGTGGGATTTTTGAAGGATCAAAATCAGGTGGATAGTATTTATTTAATACTTTTCTTTCAGACATATTGAGTATTAACTACCTGTAAAATATAAAACATTTTATTTAATATTTACAATTGTTTTACAAATTATAAAATGTATATGTATAAATAATTAATAGAAGAAAAACAAAGTTTGTTTGAAGATTTTTTAATAGTTTTCCCACCAATATCTCTAAACACCGAAACAACTAGTTTTTTTTAAATGTTCTATTTGCAGTACAATTTCTATTTAGAAATGGCTTTAACTATTACAATGAAAGCTGTCAAAAAAAATTTTATATCATCATTTTAAGCATAAATAACAGGTTGAAGAAAAAAATGAAATTTGTGTGGGGGCTGGTAAAATTTGTTTGTTCCATAGAACATTTCTTCATGGTTCAAAAGTGATATTAAGAAAAACCTTATTCTAAAATTGAATCCCTTATCTTAAAGATAATATTTTATCATATTTGGTTACAATCATAACAGAATTTAATTACCTATAACTTGAGAATAAATGAAACAGAAAATTTAATCTTTAAGCTAAATATTTTAGCAAAACCTTGACTTTCTTTGAATCTTTATTTGGCTGGAAACCTAACTACCTTCCAAAAATATAGTCCTTCTAATAATCAGTCATTAAGTTATTGTTTGCTTTGGAGTATATTACACAAGCAGTTGCATATTGTTATTTTCAACCTCAACGGCACAATATAAAAAATGGGAACATGTTTTATTTTTAGTCATAATATTGTAAATTATATTTATACAAATTAGTATTTGAGATCATATCATACTAACAAAGGCTACCTAACGAAAAAGTTATCAATACATAGTCATAATTTTTCCTGTGTATGCTTTTAAAAATAATTCCTTATGATAATTAATTATAATGACCAGATTAAAAGGTGTGAAAGTGTTAAATACCAAGGTGTCACATTATTTTAGGTTTAATAAAAGATAATTAATTGCGATAGTTTAAACCATAGAAACAATGAATTTAAATTTTTACAAAATGTTATTACTTACCAAATATTTGATGCGACAAAAATAATAAAATAATAGAAGACTGTAGTCAGTAGTCACAGATTTAATATTAATTAATAACGAATATATTAAATATGATTAATAATAAAAAAATTCAAATTGGACATATTATTCTATAATCTACTGATTATTATACCAAATATCAAAATGGCAGACACTTTTATCATGGTAAAAGCACGATTTATCTTAAACCGTGGTGAGAACCATAGATTTATATTATAAACAATACATATTATATTATATAGTCTATAGTGTTGTCCAAAAAATGATAACATTACCGCGTCACTAATCTGTTGCCAACTTAAATTAAATGGAACATTAAATTAAAATCTTTGAGTTATCAACACAGTTCACAAACATAATATTATTATTATTAAATAGCCAAATTGAAAATATGTTAGAGATATTAGTTTATAGTAGTGCCGTTGATTATCGTATATATTTGTATTAGTAATTACTATTTTAGTAAAGTAATGTTGAGGCTTGAGCACCTTTTCGCGCTATTATATATGTTTGTAATTTAACTATTACCGTTAAGGTTTTAATATAATAGGTATCTGTTGTTGAGAGAGGACCATGAATTAAGATATATTAAATAATGCATTTATATCTTAATTCATGGTGAGTACAGTGTTATAATAATTTAATTTAAAAACGGTTGTTTAGATAACGAGCTTCAATATATTTTAAATATCAGCAGTTGATGATCACATTTTATAAAATATGAATGACGGTAAATGATTTTTGTAATTAGTCAATTAGATATTATTGATGTTAATCCAATAGGAGGTTTTTCACACTGTGAATTTATTTTTTCAAATATTTTTTTTCTCATACACCAAATTCACATATTGAGGTCCACAAAATTGTGCAGGTTGTAAAATGCAGTAATTTAAAATTAAATTAAAAAATGTGTTAATAAAAGTATTGTAGTAAAAATGTAACAAAGATGTATTTTAATGTTCTCGATTCTGAGCACTAGACATATCTATTATCTTATAACATGAATCATAAGTTTTATAAGTATATCGATGGTAATATCTTATTAATTGCAGTTGTTTATGTTGTTTCAAAAATACTCAAAAAAGTTCAATGCTCTATAAATACGGTTTATTTTTGTTTTTATAGAAGAAGTAATTTGGCGTAAGCTGCTCATTGATGGTGATGGAATTGGTGATGATAGACGTTTAAATATTTTGCTTAAGACATATTTAAAGTGGTGTAATACTAAATACACAGATCCTGTTGAAAGGTACGCTTTTGTTATTTACAAACCCATTTTGATCCAATAGGCACCTTCTATTTGTATATTGTGAAAAGAGTGTTATGGCTTGACTTTAATGTTATGTCGGTCAAAGTTAAATCAATCTATTGAAAATGTTAGTTTAATAACATTAATTGTGTTTTTAGCCAAAAAGCCATGGAAAAGATGTTGGTTCATCTTAATTTATGTGAGCATGCAATGAAGAAATCCCAAGCTGTTTCGCGTATGAATGTAGAAGAAATGCTTATGTATGACAATATGTCTAGTGAAATTGATCATAATATAACAAATACAAAAACTGAGATAGATTGTGCTAAAGAAGAATTAAAAAAAGCTAAAACCATAAGGCGAAATCGTATGGAGTATGATGTTTTAGCAAAGCTCATTATTCAGCATCCCCCTAGAACTGAAACTGCTAAACGTCTTGATGATTTAAAAGATGAACTTCAAGCATTAAAAGTAATGTCATAAACAAATTTATAACTATGCTAATATTGTACTAATGTTTGAAATAATTTGATTTCAGATGACAAAAAATGAAATCAATCAAAAACTAGATAAGAGACGAAAACAACTGCATGTACTTATGTCCGCATTAAATGACTTAACAGATAGTTTAGATGATAATGGTTCGATGAGTGAAGATATGTCATATGAGACATTTGATGATGAAGACCTTGATATATTAACAAGAAAAGACGATGTTGAGGAGCCAATGTCTGATTAATCATTTAAAAAATTAAAATTGTTTACAACCTAATAAAAATTGTATATTATCAATATCAACAAAAGAATTGTAGCTTAAATAATTTAATACACTGTATGTTTACATTCAATAGTAATTTATTTTAAACAATAATTATGCAATTTATTTTATATTTTCATTAATTTTACATTATAAACAGATCCTTGAACATACATACATTTGTTTATTGTTTTAACCAAAAAAAATTATATTAACTACGGCATATTTCCAGACTCATTTCATTACGTAAAAAGTTTATAGTTTCATGAATGACAGCCTGTTTTATTGATTGACTTGTGCTTAATAAAACCACCAATTTGACAACGTCACTTACGTCAATTGATGATATTACATTTTGTATGGTATCATACAGTTTTTTCTGTTTTTCATAGTCCATTTCATTTATAATTTCTATAAGAGACTTAAAATCCTTAGTCATTGAACAAGCAGCTACTGTACCCACTACTCCACCTAAAATCACAAACATTTACTACATAACTAATAACAAAATTACAATGTTCACACACAATAAAATGATACTGTAATTAGCATTCATCATAAGTTTTAATTCAATAACATACAATATAATATAATAATATATAATACATATGATATGATTATTTGAACTTAATTTAATAATATGATAAAAATATTTATTACCTATCTTTATATTTAATTTAACAAATCAGAAATAGATTGAAATGGCTAAAATAGTGCCTGTATCTTTTTTAATTAAGCTATCGTGGATATTGTTGAAAACGTTATAACTAAAGACCAGATTTAATTGCATCGAAAACACAAAAATTGTATAACTGAACCAAAAATACATAATAATTGCACTATAAAAATTCAAGTTATAAAAAAATTTAGATAAATATTACTTTTTTGATCCTAAATTGATAATTAGATATATTTCCAAATTATGTTCATTCAAATTCCATTACTTAAAATATATTTGTACAAGTATTTTATCAAAATTAACATCTTTTTTACCCGACATGACTTCATAACAAGATTTAATGGTTTTATACCCATAATTTTTTCAATCAAATCCTTAGATTTGTCTTAATTTTATTTTCCATCTGAACCAACTAAAATTATCCATATTGGGTAATTACCCACAATAAAAAAAATGATGAATATATATTGATAATGGCTCTTAACAAAGGCTTTATGGTACAACTACGGATCGTCTACAAACAACAAAAACTAGGTATGTCATAATAGCGTTTTAATACAACAAATTTAGCAGAGTTAAATATTTTGTTCATTTAACCACACAAAATTGTAAAAAAATGCAAAACATTGCATAATAAAATTAATTACCCATAACACACAAGGTATAATATAATATTGACTATATGTTAGATCAGATTGGTTTATCTAAACTGCAAAAAAAAAAAATGCTATATCAATTAAATCCAATCTTTAGTTATAACAATAAACAAAATATGATTTAGTAAGTAAATACAATTTTATTTTTCAATGAAAAAATACAGAGAAAAATTGTAAACTAAATGATTCAAAATTGTATTATTTTACAAATCTATTATTTGTTGTAAACATTTAGTGTAATTTTACAAATACCAAAGGTTAGTTTAAAATTAAATGGTTTTTAAACGTTATTTAAATAAATTGTATTTATTAATGCTATTACTATACCAGCAATTAAACCACTTTTTCCACCAAGTAATCCGCCAACAAGAGTTGCAATGCCTGCTATAAGACCACCTTTTACAGATTCTTTAACACATATTTTTATATTTTCTTCCTGAAAAATTTCACCAACTACTTGTAGTGATTTTACCACACTTTGAGGTGCTATTGATGACATTTTTCTTGATTATTTATTAATAATGACTACCTATGAAAGTTTAAAATTATAGACATGAAGATCTATATTCTATATTCATATGAATCTGATAATTCTGATGAATTTTACATGAAAAACATTTTCAACTATCTTTAAAAATTACAACCGTGATATGAGTACAATATGACCATCGTTTGTCAGCCTGCACATCGTTCGAAGTCCATGATCATGTTATTTTGACATTCTGACATCAAAAACAAAAGAATACTGATAAGACACAGTGTTGCAATATTAAAAATGATAGTAAAAATGTATATTATAATATTATTGGTAAACATTTGTACTACGCAGTAGATTAAATTCATTTTTGCCAAAAATAGTACATTTGAAGAGTCATTGTCTGTATAAAATATAATTATATACTTTAAAACTTTCAAGTACCCAGAAATAATATTTTTAATATACAACAAAATAACAGATATCATTATTATTGGTTAATTTAATTTCATCCATATTTTACCATAAAAAAACTAAGACTATACTACTACATAATATCTTTAGATTTTTGGTGACAGAATAACCTACTTACGTGACACCTTGTTTTAAATTGTCAACCCTTAGGGCTTAGATATAAATGTTTAAAATTTTAAACTTGTAAATTTTTAGTTCTATACATTTTTTTCAAAATTTGGGCTAAATGTTTATAAAAAAAAATCGTGCATAGGTATGTATTTATAATATTTTTCAACTTATATTGTAATATATCAGTAAAGGAACCTTTTAATACGTTTTCATGCTTATGGACCCCACAATTATAAATTTATTAACATTTTAAAAAAAAAGAGGGTTTGTGGATGTCGCTCTGCAGTGCATTAGGTTACAAGTGGGTCCCCGTAAATTTGAATTCAATATTTCAATGTATCATATCATCGTACCTATATGAAAAACCATTCTGAGTGGAGACGGTATGTCAGTCTAGGATTATTTTATTTATTTCTTATGTACGGACTGCCAACCAGTAAGTTTAATTAATATGATTCATAATAATATTCTAAAATTATCAATGATGTTGGAAATGCTATGTACTGACGTCCCGCCATATTATACTTATATACTTAAGATAGCGAGGGGGACGCATGAGATTGTTCACACTAGGATGTGATTGACCTCGGGAAAGCGCCTTGAAAGATTTAGGACAACAACTAAAGTCTTTGTGTGCGTAGTTCTGAGAACTCGACAAACGAAATTGCGTTGCGAAAAATGTATGGAGACAATTAGAAACATGGATATATATGGACACATATAATGAATAATATATATATTGTTCTATTATAATAAATAGCCGTCAGATAATATATCGACAGCGACAACCGCGTAGGAGTAGACCGTTTCCTGGAACTCGTACGCTCACATGCAATATAGTAAACGGGGTCAGCTCCATCTTATCGTTAACAGAGTGGAGATTGGGCCTATAAAACAGGGACCCAGTCACCCGATATTCAAACTTGATTTACCAGAGCCAGTACGAACACCTTCACGCCAGTCGACTCTGATAAATTTCAGTGTTATAAAAATATTCTATCAGTTTTACATGTCAAATAAAGTCTATGTTCATAATGATCTAAAATTTACTTAGAATTTATTACACCTTGTCATCATTAATCTTGTACACCACAATCTGTGGGCTGGACCACTACAGAAAAATATTAAAGATATTTATGTAAAATTGGGCTGTTTTGGAACCGAATTACAACAAAATGACAAACGTTATTTTTTGTGTTGACTGATGATAATTGATATGTAACTTTTTCCTGTAGGCAAGGAGTAAGGACAAGAAAATTAGGCCTAGAAGAGAATGCCTGTAGATGGAAATCGGAGGGGAGACTTACGGGCTCAGTCCCCCCAGAATAATTTATTTGGAGTTATAAATTTATAATCTCAGTAAATATTTAAAAAAATATCGTTCTTTAGTACAGATTACAGAATTATGTATGAATGATTTTTTTTATTATCATTCAGTAAGTACCTACAAAAAACATATTTTTAATATTATACCTATTCACAAGTTTGTTATTCTGTTATTCATTTGTTATTTTTCATGTATCCATGGTGATATTGCTGGTTTACAAAAATTAAATTAAATAAAAATTTATTACATATATACAATATAATAACAACGTTGAGTTTAAAACTATGTATATTTTAGATTGTGACTTAATATCAATGAATGTATATTGATTTTGCAATAAAGTGGTATTTTTCTGTCTGTCATCATCGCTTCTTCGGTCTTACCACAGAAATGCTTCTATTTTAATCTTGGGGAGTAGTTTCTGGTTGAAAATTAGATGAAGTTGGTATCTTGGGGGACTTCAAATAAATCCCAATACTGCAATACTTACCAAGAAAAACAAAAAAAAATTGAAGAAAAGTGGGAAATTTTCGATTTTTATTAGTCTTTCAATATGTAAAAAATAAATAATAATAATAATAATCGATAAAAAATATTTTGTTCGGTCACAAGGGTTTGTTACAGGGTTTCTCATAAGTTGTTGTTACTGGAATCATAGATTATATTAATAATACCTGGGCTGGAATTAAAAATAATTTGAGCTTAAAAGGACAATTGTTTTTAATGAGCATTTGAAGTTTATATTTTTACAACATTCGATATACCTTCGTAAAATAATTATGCCAACATATTAACCTATTTACTATAATATATTTATTTAGGTACTATAATACTATATACTATAACGTCTATAACCTATTTCTCCTTAAATGATTTTCATATTTTGTTGTCATTCAAAACTAATAACTGTATATAGTGGCGGATCCTGGATTAAATTTTTTTTTTTGGGGGGGGGGGCATAGTCCAAACGCATTTCAAAATACAAGAAACGGGACATAATTATAAACTATTGAAGATAGATAGGGGGGGGGGGGGTTGAATAATAAAAATAAGTATGGCGATTGTAAACAATGAATAATACATTTATTATTATGTTTTATTATAAATAAAAGCAGGTGTACCACAAGGTGCAGTTATTGCCCCTCTACTTTTCAATATCAAAATCGCAGATCAGTCTACCTAACCCCATATTTTAGTCGGTGATTTCGCTGATAACAAAGCCATAATAACAATCAGCCCAGATTCTGTCTTAGCGTCCACTTACATCATAGAGTAATACTATTACTATTATAGTATTACTCTATGACTTACATACAAGATCTAGTCTCTCTTGAATCGTGGTACAAAGCATAGGGAGTAAAAATGAGTGAAACCAAATCCATCCACGGTACATTTGCACATCGCCATGGAATATACCAACAGTTTATCTCAGTAATCAACCGCTTCTTTCTGCCCAGGGAATACGATACCGACTCTTTCGACAACTTTTAACATCTAAGCACATGAAGCTCTCCAATAAGCTACTCTACAAACTCCTTCTTAGGCCCATTTGGACTAATAGGATCCAACTATGGGGCGCTGCCAAAACTTTCAACATCTACCGCATTCAGAGATTCCAATCTAAAACCCTACATTCAATTCTAAAAGCGCCATCCTATGTCTCTAACCACACCTTCCATACTGATCTCAAAATACCATTTGTCTCTGAACTAGCAATAACCTACTACAAACTTTTCAATAGCCGCCTAGCACACCATAAGAATCCCCTAATGTCCAATCTATCATCTGCTTCTATCCCAGAAAACCCGATTAACCGACTCAAAAGTAAAATAATTGTATGATATCCTTATGTTTGCAATAAATTGTTTATCTTATCTTAAAAAAAGGCAGTGGTATCGTGACGGCTGCATACGAATTGCGTCCCAAAATACAAAAATGTATATGGCGATATTCGAGTTGCGTCCGCGATATTTGCACAACACATACGAGTTGCGTCCGCGATTTTCTCGCGACATATCCGAGTTGCGTCCTGGTTAATAATTTATTAATTGGTTAATAATCCACATAATAATATACATATTTTCCTTCCCACTTTTACAGACTGAGGACTGTCATTTATATAAATGGTGTGGTTAAAAATTGTAATAATATAAACTGTGTGGTGGTTAAAAATTGTAATTGCTTATTATAAATTATTTATTGTTTTAAAATGTTTGGTTGATTTAAAAAATATGATATAGCTAAAAATTGTAATATAAATATTTATGTAGGTATCATTTATGCATCGGTAAATTTTTATTTGCCAATTTTTGAACAAAGTCAAGACGTGTTATATTTTTGTTTTCAAACTCAGTCATAGTTTTTTTAATAAATTCTTCTTTTTCCACATCCTCTCTTCGTTTATTACTTAAATTTGAACTTCGCATTTTAATATAAATATCTGTTTGGACATTTTTCAGTACCTACTTCAACAAATTGAAAAATATTGGGATACGACGAATAAAACATGCTATTTAATTTTGAGTGAAATGATTCACATGCGTTGGTGGTACGCATTAACGAGTTTGAAAACTCGGCCCATAATGACGGTTGAAATTTACTTTCCAGCAAAATATAATTTTTTTCAAAATAATTCAAAAAATTATCAACTCTTTCGTCGTTAGGTTTTATAGCCATTAGGTCTTCATAAAAACAGTTATTAACCTCATCGGGTTTTAAAAATGAAAGACCAAAGAATAATTTCAAAAATTTTCCAATTTCAGATTTATTTTTAAAAACTGTAGATAGACCAAGACTTTGAATTTTTCTCCAGATTGATTGTCCGAGATGAAATCTACAACCTTTGCGTATGACATCAGGAAAAATATCTACAACTGCAGAGTGTATTGCTTGTTCAAAGTCTGCATAAATTATATTGGGGGCAAAATTTAAATTCAAATCGTTCATTTTTTCTATTAAACTATAAAACGCATCTTTATATATTGATATAGTCTTGCCTGTTAGTAAAAAAAATACTAAAGGAGTATAAGTAGTATTTTTAGCACCATGAATTATAAATAATTGATAGAAAAGCTTAGGGCAACTTTTAAATGTGCCATCGATATATAAAGTTTTACACTCACTTAAAAATTTTAAATTTGTTGTCGTTGAAAATGCTACAATATTTTTTTCAGTGTTATTTATTAATAAAAATATTTCGTCTTTATTAGTTTTTATTTCGCCTAAATTGGTTAGTGCCAAATGCAACTCTTCTAAATCTGTAGGCAATTTTGGAATAATGCTCGACCGAGCATAATGAATATTTTTCCTTATACGGTTTATATCTGTGGTAGTTAATGTACTTACATCACCTTTACGCAACTCCCGATGTAAAATTTTGCATGGCTTTTCACATGGGTCATCTAGAGCTTTACGCTTTAATTTATTACCAATTTTTTGACGATTTAAGACGTTTTCGTCGTCTTTATCATGTTCATGATTTAAAGCACTAAAAATTATTTCATTATTTTCGTTCATTTTAAAATAACACTTGCACAAACGTTTAGAACACGACCACCTCTGAACATTATTATTTAAAAATTTTTGGAAAGCAAATTTGTATCCATTAACACAATATAATAATTTATTTTTTTCACTGGTCATTTTAACTACTTTAAGATTTTCCATTGCAAAGTTAAATTAATATTAAATTATAAATATAAATTTAATAAAAATAAATTAAAATGTATAAAACGCTAATGTTTTGTCGAACAAATGGAGTATCGAAGTAAGACTAATGCTAACACGAACAAAATTAATTTCCAACAATAAATTTAAGGTGATACTTACAGATAAGATATCGATAATCGAGATTATCTACGAGTTTATCACCAAACAATATTCTCAGTTGCTGAAAAACCCATGGCCCGATAAAAAATACCCCGAGTAAACCGCGGACGCAACTCGGATATGTCGTGAAAAAACCGCGGACGCAACTCGGCTGTGTCGTGAATTCGTGATAAAACCACGGACGCAACTCGGACAAAATATCATTTAGGGACGCAATTCGTATGCGCTGATCGTGACCTGCTAGCCTAACAAAATTCTTACTACGTCGATCGTAGTTCCTCCCTTCGACCATATTATATGCTATATTAGTTTATATGGTCGAAGGTTCCTCCGCTGGGACGCATATGCAGTCTGTCTAATCGGGCTTTTTATTTTTATTTTTGTTTATTTTATCTTATATTATTTACCATCAATTGTCCTTATTGTTCTTTGTTTTATGTAACAGATCGAATAAAAACTTATGAACCAAAAAAAAAAAATATATTATATTATAATAAATAGTTACTAATTAGTACATATTATTTATTTAAGCAAACATATAAATACAGTGGACGCTGCTTATAAGACTCACGGATATAAGGTTCAGTCGCTTAGACTCAAAATTGTCTGAAACGGCCCGGACGTATCCAAATACGTTACAAAAAATTTGTTTATAATTTGTAAAATAAAAAATGGTAAAAAATAAACATTTTTGGTCAAAATTTAGAAATAAATTAATGTTTTTTGCTTTATTATGTGTGTATGTCTAACAAATTGTATCGTCTTTCACATTTTCCAATATACTTCCAGAATATTAGTTGATAACTAAAAAAAAAAACAAAATCACAATTTTTTTTCATAAATAATAAATAGGTACATTATACATACATCTTTTATAATTTTTTTATTAATGCATATAATCATTTTTTACATGTATTGTAATTTTAATTTTTTTATCAGAATTTTTTTAATTTATTCAATAATACGTATGTCATATGTAATATGTATTAGAGTATTACAATTAAAGAAAAATATGTAGTAAAATAAAATTCATAAATATGTAATTAATTTTTTTTCCCATTCGCCTATAAGATTCATTCGGTTATAAGACTTACTTTGTGCTGGTCCCAATGTGAGTATTATAAGAGACGTCCACTGTATAACGTTTAACATTATTAATAACAAAATTAGAAACATAATAAATACTTATAATTTATGTAGAAAATATAAAGATAAAAATGACCCCAAATATTTGATTTGGTATTTTGGTAAATGATTGAGATATAGTTAAGCTAGTTAAAGGACTTTCTTTCCATGTCGGTGAAAGATAACAATATTCCTAAGGAATACAAGTCAAATATATTTTTAAACTTTTCCGAGGGTATATTTATACTTTAGTTTTTAAAGTTTCTACATTATTAAATAAAAATTATTAAAGTTCAAATGCAAATAATTTTTTTAATTAAAACAATGTATTTTTTTATTAAAAAATATAAATTCAATAAGAACGTCAGTTTATAAAATTAAATTGGAAAAACTGTTAATGTATACTATAGTTAAGATTGGGACTTTTTTTAGTTTTCTCTTGTGTCAGCCGTCAGGACATATGGGACGTATGGCATCCCTACTACAGACTGATTACTGTAGTAGGTACATTGATAGATAAGAATATTATACAGTATTGAGTATATAATGTACAATTTACCTTATCGTAGCCACAGGGACAGGGCATAGGCCATAGACAGATATAGCACAAAATAGGCGGAATAGGTTTCACCAATTTGGTATGGCTCATAGAAAAAATGCTGTTGAAACTTGTATAGTCCATGAAGACTAGAATAGTTAATAATTATGTGGTAATATATTATCTACTCTGTAGTCTGTACTCTGTACCATTATCAACTATATTATTTTTTCTATAGTAGCAGCTGATCGGCGTGTTAACATAATTTTGGAGGGCGAATGTTCAACAGGTACGCACGTTTACAAACGATAACGGCAATACAGCAATTGAGCAATCCGTTAATAGTTTACACTTTAATCTATGCATACACTAATAATATGATATATAATTAATTACATTTCCGGGTAGCAACAATTTTGCAATAGGACATAAATTGTGAGTGCCAAAAGATAAATTTGTTGAGACAATCGTCGGAAAATCTACGCCACAACAGAAAAGTCGTTGTAACAGTTTTTTACGGTCTGAGTGATAGATACCAAATAGAAAAAAAATGTCATTGACGAAAAGACTACTGCATGCCCTGATCATGGGTGCTCCAGGTTCTGGAAAAGGAACTGTGTCAGAACGGATAGTCCAATCTTTTGACATGTTACATATATCCAGTGGTGATTTACTGCGGAAAATGATACGAGAAAAGACTGACTTAGGCACCCAAGTCAACAAGTAAGCCACTCAGCCATACTATATAGGAAGGTAATGAATAATAGGCGATAAGAAGTACTCCGTATCCGTGTACTCATTATTTATTTATACAACAATACGGGCCTAATAAAATTAGGGGCTGTAGCTCAAATGCTTGGATATTTTATATCTATAATTTTATAATAGTATGCATAAATAATTTTTAATTCCTGCACTTAAGAGTTTACGGATCCTTATTTGTTATAAGCAATAATCTTTAAATAATTAGTGTTGCATTTAGGTATGAAGTATGACAGACATAGATGGATGGGACTTTAAAGTTATTAGAGATAGTAAAAGTCAAAGTAAAAGTGTAGTAACAGGGAATCAATATTTCCATCGACTTTTTGCTTGAGAAAAATTAAATTACATATTAAACATTATAGAGTGAAATGCTGACGCTCCGCCTACAGTTGTAATGCCCATTGCCTATACATTTTTTATGGGTTATGGCTTGCATTTGCTATACTGTTGGTGTTTACTATTACTCAGATTTGTTTCCAACGGGCAACTCGTGCCTGATGAACTCATGTTAAAAACTATTGGCGGCGAGTTGAATCGCTTGTCATCAGCTGATCGCAGCTGGCTTCTGGATGGCTTCCCAAGGACCAAACCACAGGCACTGAGCCTATTCAAAATAGCACCTGTTCAAGTAGTAATTAGCCTCGATGTGCCCTTTGATATCATCATCAATAGAGTTAAAGGTCAGTAACTTGATGAAATTTTAATTATTCAATTGAAACTTTTCAATGGATGTTTATCTATGTACAGGTAGGTGGATACATGCATCAAGTGGACGAGTCTACAACACGGATTTTAACGCACCCAAGGTACCCGGCTGTGATGATATTACTGGTGAACCATTAATGCAACGCGACGATGATAAGCCAGAATTCGTTAAGAAACGTTTGGAAATATACTCCGAGATGGCTGGACCCATTTTAGAATATTATGCTGAGCAAAATGTTTTGGTAAAATTCTCAGGAAAAACTACCAATGAAATTTGGCCTCAAGTTTACAAATACTTGACCACCAAGATTGAACCCAAGGAAAAACTTGCATAAGATTTATAGATATTACATATCCCAATGTATTAAATATTGTTCTAATTTTATACTGAAAAACTGATATTATATAGGTATTTTATTTATTATTTGTTATTACTGTTGTTACATGTGACATGTTTGGTGCTATTCAAAGAATTAAAAATTAACATTTTTTCTGGTGCTTAATAATTTTGTTTTTAATTAATATTTAATTACTAAAATCTTTTCATTGTAGATCCAAGTTTCCTTTATTACAGAGAATTTTAAAAATGTACTTATGCACTTTTAGGGTATTAATATTAGTAAAAAAGCATAAGAAATTATTGGTTGGTACCACTCAGCATCATGAAGAATAACTAGAATTATTATTATAATTTGATAATTAGGCAAACAATGCAAAAAAATGGATAGCTTCAATAATCCGCCCAATAATACCTACTCTCCTTGAGGATCATTTTTGTTCATTGTTAGGCATTAGTCTGTTATAGTAAAATATCAATCCAATTTATAAAATTTGTTAAGTTAAAACAATGTTGGAACTAGAACATTAAATTACAACATAAAGCATATTATTTAAAATGTATACTTGCAACAAATATGGTCCAATCCACATAATTGTGATATACATTATACCACGATTTATTATTCCATCTCCATTAAGTATAATTATTAAATAATAAACAGTTATTAATCAGTCAGGTACTATACAATTAAGGTGCTATTTATTATAATAGATACTAATTAGAAACATCAAAATTATAATAAATAAATTATTACCTATATTATTAAATAATAAATAGGTACGCATCAAGCATGATAATTTAGGTTCCCGGTGACCCGGTGATGAAAGCTCACAGATTTGTATAGATTATTGAACTAGAGAAGTCTGCGAACTTATTTATATTCAATAGTTTAGACACAGAATAATCACACGATGTTCTGTATATATAGCCTCCTGTATAATCTGTGATAAGAAATATTGTATTTTGGGTTACATTTCATTAAATTTCGGGGGTACTGTAATATTTCACTGAGAAATTATTATTCTATGAAATTAGTAAACTACTGAGAATAAATTATAGAATATGGATACATTGCACATTAACGACCAATCTTTTCAACAAAAAAAATCCTCTAAATAATGTACATAAAAAATGGGGATTCTTATCTACAATTTTATGTCTAAATACTGCTTAGGAAGTACAAACAAATTTCTAGTAAAATAAATTCTCATCACTTCATGAGGAGTACCTTATACTAATAATTATTTATTAGAGCAATTATCTATGAAATATAAAGGATATTATTCAAAAATAAAATACTCATTCAGTCGTGGCTCAGTGCAACCATAATTCATGTGACTAATAAAAGTGTTGCTCTTTCTAACCATTGTAATCATAAAAACATGATAAATGCCCATGTGTTATGTTACTCTATGTTGCCATACTGTATTTCTATTTTTGTTTACTGCTTTTATCAATTAATTTTATATTACTTAATTACTTTTACTTTTTAGTTTTTAGTGTTTTTACTTTTTTATAATAGTTTTAACTATCAATTGTTCTAGTGTTTAAGTTGTTTGCAGATTTTTAAATGTACGCATACTTTACTGGGTGTAGTGCAATACTATGAAATTACGTGCTGGGTCGTTTATAAAATTATGTTTAATTAATGATAAACCGTATGGGTTATATAGCACTATAGCAGGAATATGATTATTTTACCTTAACAGATTGTTAACATATATCATATTCTGAAATTATTCATGTTTAACCATGGAAATAACATTAACAGAAAAAGAAGAATTTATGCAGGAACATTTAGTTGTTTGGGTGAGTCAGTTACTTAATCATGTCTTTAGTGTTTACTAGTTTACTACCATCTTTAATTTGATCAAGTTACCATTTTATGTACTAATTCAGTGTATTGTTCTTAAAAACTAAAATTCCCCGGTTACTTGAGAGCACTTTGAAAAAAAAATTGGTTCTATGTTACGTCTTTTTTTCAAGACTACCACCTTGTATTTAATATATATTTATTGGTCAATACATTTCATACCAGCGGCATACTAGGTTTTAGTGACCTATAAGTGCATTCATATGTTTTATGAACTTGTAAATTGACTTCACCTTGTTGTGCCTGTTTTAAGTTACGCAAGCATTATCAATGTTAGGGACGAGGACTTCTAGTCTTATAAAATATGCATGCTCTTAAAAATATTAGAAATAAGTATTAAAAATGTATTAGATTTATAGTTTAACAATTTTTTAGTTACAATCATGCTTAAACAAACCAGAAAAATTAAGTGTATATGAGAATTTAATTGATGGAACATTGATTTATGAAGTATTACTTTTAATGTAAGTATCAAAGTCCTTATCAATCTATTAAACTATTATAATTGATAGATAATAAATAACTTTGATATTTAATGTTTTGGTTTTCCAGAGATCCTGAACCATTATATCACACTATTGTTTCGGGTCAAAATGATCCATCTATTAGAATCCAAAATATTAATTGTATTTTGAAAAATATAAAAATGTTGTATGAAGTAAGCTATATAATTTTATTTTTTTAATACATAGTACTACATAGGTACTTAATTTGAATCTATTTTAACTATTCTAGGAAGAACTGGGACAGGTTATATTGACAATGCCTGATTGTTTACGTTTAGGACGAGAACCCTATTCAAAGCATAGTTTTGATGATATGAAATTATTATTGTTATTGTTGCTTGGTTGTGCAGTTCAATGTCCAAATAAAGAATCATTTATTGAACGGATAAAAACATTGCCTATTGAATCTCAACATGCACTTGTACATTATATAAAACAAGTAATACAATGTTTTGATTTTAAAAACTGTTTATTTATTTATAAATAATAAGTATAACTAAATAAATATTGATTCACTTTATAGATAACAGAAAGTCAACAGATTGTAATTACTCAAGAAAATGCAGAGCAATTGACAACCGACCTTATGATCTCTCATATTCGGCAATTGGTTAAAGAACGTGATCAGTACCTTCAGGTAACTAAGAAGAATATGCTACAATATAATAAAAAAAATTTAGGTATAAATCTAATGTATAGATATATTCTTTTTTTCTTTGCTTGCTGATTAAGAAAGTGAAATCAGATTTCAGACATCTATACAAATGGAATTCTGGATGCAGTATACAGGGTGATTTTTTTAGCATGCTCATCTCCATTTTTTTCCTTTAATAAAACACTTATTCAAATTCTAATTTATAGAATTCTGAATTTTTAAATATACCTGAAAATCATATTTTTAAATTTCTGATATTTTATGTACTGTAGCATTAAAATTTTCAATTTTTCAAATGAATACTTCCCTTTTTTACTGAAAATTATTTAGCTGATGGGTTTCTTGAAAGTGTTGATGTATCTAAATCAAAATTTTAATTTGTAGTTTTTGAGTTATTGAAATATTTATTCTAAAGATAATTATCCTTGAAAATAGTTTTATAAAATTTAAACTTAATGTAATATTAGATGTAGTGTTTGTATATATTTGGTGTACATTTTAAATACTATTTTTCTGTATATTAGAGTGTATCAACTAAAGTTGAATTCTCTTCTTCGAATATTTCTTTCCAATTTAAAATTTAAAATTGAAATAGTTGTTAAAATAAATGATTACTACCTTATATTCTGTCTCAAAAGAGAATAGTCAGTCTGTCGACCGATTTACATCAGTGCTCTGCATCTCCCACCAACTTCGCGGTGTTTGTGCGATCATATAGTTCTTGACGTGTCAATTGCAGTATTTACAATGTGCAAAAAATTGAGTTCTTAGACAGAGTATAGTCAAACTTTTATAATATGATATAATGGGTACACAATAATTTAAATTTATCTTGATTGACAAATAGTTCATTAATAAAATGTGTCCATTTTGATCATTATTTGAAATTTTAACATATTATTGCATTTATAATTAGTTAATAAATAATAGGGCATAATAACAAACATATTTGTTTACTTCTTACAATATGTTTTATTTAATTGAAAATGTTTTTTTAGATGTGGACAGAGTTAGAAGAAAAGCGTTTTTCTAACTCTAAACCTTTAGAAGCTGGTGGTTTAACCATATCTATTAGTTCTAGTGGTGATAATCAAAATTATGCCCTTGAACTTGCTGATTGGAAAGCAAAGCTTCGAAAACTTAGACATGAATTGTAAATATTCTTAAAATAAAAAACAATTATAAATAAAAATAAAAATTAATGTTTTATTTTCTTATAGAGAAGAAAAAACTGAAGCGTTAGCCGAAGCTAAAGAAGAACTTGAACAAACTAATCTTACAGCAGTTAAATTAAAAGAAGAGGTACATAACTATTTAAATAAACAAATATAATTCCTCATTCATTTTCATGATTATGTCTGTTTCTTGTGTTTCAGCTTCAACAAATTAAAGTAGATGCTAGATCAGCAAAAGCATATAGAGATGAAGTAGATGCTTTACGCGAAAAAGCATCCAACTATGAACACCTGGAGATCGAAATAAAAAAATATAAAGAAAAATTAGAAGATTTGGATTATTATAAATCTCGAGAAGAAGAGCTCACACAAAATAATTTACTTCTCCAGGAAACAAGAGAAACTCTTGAAGAACAACTTGTTAAGTTTCGAAGAAGAGCTTCCCAATTACAAGAAATGGAATCACAATTGTTACATTTTAAACAAAATATTAATACCATGGCATTAGAACGAGATGCACACTTGAGGAAAATTGATGAACTTATTAATGAAAATGCTCAGCTTGATCTACTTAATAAATCTTTTCAATGTAATGAAAGCTTTAACAAAGAAATTGACAATGATAGTTATTTTGATCATATTGGCAAGTATTATACCATTTCGATAAATAATTATGTATGATATTATTTGAATGGGGACATTTAGTTACTAAATTATTAATTACTTTAATGTTATTAAATAAAAGTTTCCATTTAGGAAAAAAAATTATTTAGAAGAAAATATTAGGTGTTTATATATTTAGTTGCATACATTGACAAGTGTGTCATCATTCTTCATATTGAAACTGATAGTAATTATAATTGTGTTTAAATATTAAGGAAAAATACTTCAAAAACCAGAAATATAGTTTAAATTCAATAATTAAATATATTTATGCCGGGTTGCATGAACAATCAC